GCACGCTGTTCACGAAAATCAGCCATTGCAAAAACGATGATCACACAAAACAGTTGTCACTATAAACTCTGCCGAAACTAGTCCTTACCTTCTGAAGCAACGGTAGTCGGCTTATCGACTCAGGAATGTTAGCTCTATACGCCCATAGCGGCAAAACGCGGTACTACAAAAGCTCTGCCCACAAAAAAATTAGTTCGGTTTCTTTTGGGTACCCCATCATATATATTGAATCAGATATAGTGAAAGTGATCGAAGTAGGGTGGTTGAGATGGCTTGGACACCTTTTTAAAATGTAGGAGCAGAACTCCTGCAAGAAGTTAATGCTACACAAATGAGAGGGTACTCGACAAGTAGGCAGACCTGTGATTGGGTGGCTGGATTCCGTTGAAGATCTGAAGATGACAGGCATCAGAAATTGGAGATGAAAGTCTAAGGATTGGGACCAATGGCGAGCAATCCTGAAAGGGACCAATGTTCATCATGAACTGTGTCGCCCACAGGAGGAGGCGAAGACAAAGAAGGGTGAGAAGGAGAAGGAAAAGGAGAAGGGGGATGAAATGGAAGAGAAACAGAAGCAGGATAAAAATGAGGAGGAAGGAGGAGAAAGATGATAACCTGGCTAAGGTTCATGAGGTAATGTTCCACAAGCCAATGATTAAGATTACCGTCTTACCGTGCAACAAATGGAGGATGCTGTATACCAGTGTATATATACTGTAAAGGTACAACAGATGACTGGTCCAAATTACTGAGGTTACCTGGGCTGCGTATGGTCCATCACTGAACTGCAATATATTGCCTTCTTGTTTCATGATGGCACGTATTTCAGGGTCACGTTTCATTTTCTTGGTCATTGGTATATACTCTTCATCAATCATCAAAATCTTCCTCTTCTGTTGCTCGTTACTCACCACCTAATCAATAAACGAGTGAAGTATTATACTAACGGAAATAGTTATTTTGTTGCTTTGCAATTTCATAAACTTCACAATTTTGCATTGTCTATGTCATTTTCTGATTCTTTGGAGGTTGTTCACAATTCGTGTACCAACTGCTGAGGCTATGTTGCAACAAATGAGAGATGGCAGGATGAATGTAAACTGTAAGGAAATGAGGAAGATGCAGTTAGAGCAAATTTCATGGTACTATCCCAACTTTATCATGGAAGGACTGAGGAAACAGCTGATCACTGACCAGTTTTCAAACCCAATACCTTTTAATGATGACAGGAGTGTAAACATTCACTGTGCGAATGCTAACAATTTCCTACAATCTATCCACTCACCTTTGCATTCAATGTGTAGCCCAAGAAACTCTGGTTGTGGAGAAGACTTTGGGCTATTTTCATTTCATCCTCAGATTTGAAATGCACATACAGAACTTTATCACCCTTTTGGCGAGGTCTGATCCTGTGACCTAAGTCCCCCAGAGTCATGTTCAGCAGTTGCTTCAGGTTCTGTCAATACAAGTCAATCATTACAAGCAAGACGATATGACTGCTAATATGAAGTACAAATGGCGCAGGATGCATCCAACTGCATGTCAGAAATAGAACTGTCCGAACGTAAGTGCTGTTCAAATACAAGACAACCCATCTGGTTTAAATACAAATATACCTTCATCACCAAATTTCTCTGATCACAAGAAATCTGACAGAAATACCATATAGCAGACTGTCAATTATTTATTCTGCAGAATAATGAGAGTATTTTAGAACTGTTTAAGTACTGATTATGGTTTCCCATAATAATCTAAATGCTGCCCGTTATATCTTTTCGGTACTATACAAGGTTAGGCATTTAAGTTCCAGGACTGCATAAATTTTAAGGAAACCACATTTAAAATCCAATATATCTTTTAATATTCTTCAAAATAATCTCATTGAGATGTTACACCCTTTTGTCCTTGCTCAAGAAACTGTTGGAAACACCTTTTGAACTCATTTGTATGCAACATCAAAAATTGCTTTGTTACATTTCTTTCAATGTCCTTAGTGTCCTCAAATCTCCCTTTCAGTGTGGATTTTATTTTGGGGAACAAAAAAGTTTGATGGGGATAAATCTGGAGAATATGGAGGGAGGGGTCACTTAATTCTGGAATTCCCTGTTTTGCCACAAACTGCTGTACTGCAGTGTGAAGTGTCACATTGTCATGTAAGAGGAACCAGCTTTCTCTTTCATGAAACTGAGGTCTTACTCAATTAATTCTTTGAACCATATGAGACAATACTTCCACATAATATCCTTATTCACCATATGACCTATTGGAATAAATTCTTTGTCGAAGAACTGACATACAACGCTGTCTTTTGACTTTTGAAACTGAATTTTTGTGTCTTGGAGAGATTGGTGAGCACCATTCCATGCATCGTCTTTAGTTTGGAGATCATACTGGAAACACCAGGTCACATCACCTGTTACAAATGAGTCAAGCAAGGAACGATCTTCATAAACAGACTGAAAAAACTCTTGATACGCATTCAGTCTGAGGGCTTTCTGCACACTGGCCAAATAATGCAGAACAAACAAAGTGCAGATCTTCCACTAAGATCATGCAAATTGTTTTTCAGCTAATATTGAGTGCCTCTTCCTTCATTTGTCAATAAATTGAAATCAATTCCTGAACTGTTTCGATCACGTCAGGTGTCTGAATGGCTGTTGGTCGTCCACCGTGTTTGTCATCTTCAAAACTTTCACGACCATTCCCAAATCTTGCATACAATTCAAAAACCCATGTATGAGAGGCAACGTTCTCACCATAAGCCTGTTTTATCAGCAGGAAAGTTTCTGTAGCTGTTCTGCCCATCTTGAAACAAAACTTAAGTTTTGTTCTTTGCCCTATCACTATAAGCTGTCACAACAATCTGCACGGTACAAAATCTTAAACATGACTGACCATGAATGACAAGAGAAAAGTCACTGACCTTATACAGGAAAAGCAAACGATGAGTCACCCCGAACAGACAAGTTGAAATATGTTCCCATGTGCTCTTAAGAGCACGTATAACAGTGATGCATTACAGCGATTTGAAACAGACTATTCCACCTTCTCAACATTTAAAACTTCTAATTTCTTTATTTTATTTATGGAAATTGCAATGAAAAGCAGGAATTCAAGGAAAGTAGTATGCTTTATTGTTTTTTTTGTCTCCTGTTCATGTGATTCTCTTCTGGACAGATATATTCCTGAGACTAAAGCCTAGTATTACCAACTGTACACATTAATCCCCCTTTCCTGCTCTCAGCCCTGTATATGTTATAATGAAAGAAAACAAAAATCCCAGTGACTGGTTGTCACCCAAGGAATGATAGTCCAGTGCGATCACTGCTACCTTAAGCCTATGGACAAGCTTAGTGTGTCAGCATTTCCTCCAGCTCTAATGTAACTTATCCTGCTGTATCCTGGGCATCAGAGTATCTTCACTGAAAACAGGGTGTGCCAAGGGAACACATGGTTGATAAAGACTAGGAGAGAAGGCAAAATATAAAGAATATGGAAAACACTGGAAAGAACCACTTCACAATTTGAGCTTTGACAGAATTTTAGAGAATCATACAAAAGGAAAAATAAGTCTGGGAACTCCTTGATGGGTGGAGCTCTGACAGAATCTTAGAAAATCAAAAAAGGGGGAAAAAAGGTCTGGGAAACCCTTAGAAATGATGGAAGGTTCAATATGCCTAATACTGGAAACAAAGATGATGGTTAATCCCCCCAATGTAGACGGCCCCACTCGGAACTACAGACTTTATCTTCCTGAAAGAATATAACCTAACATTCCACTGATATGGAGAGAACATATGATAGTCCTAGATGAGAGACAGCCTGTTTCTTATTCATCGCCCATAACACAATAAAAACAATACATACAACATCCGGTTAACCATATCTCTCTAAAACCCACTAAAAAGTTGGTTAATAGGATGTTAAATTAAAGCAGAAAACTATTATAACATATAAAATCTTAAATTAAGGATGAGGTAAAGTGTAGAATACTTTACAGTTACTCCACAGTAAACTAACCTGGCCAGAGCCAAAAAAACAATACCAAAACAAAGTTAACTAAGATCAGACTAGGATTAACAATCACACTGGGGAACCCAAACACTATTATTTACTTTAACATCAAAAATAATATTTAATTTATACAACGATATTAACTACAAAACTTACCCCAGCTTCTCGTGGGGGCAGTCCACGAACCAGTAACACGTGGATATACAAGTGTGCAGACTCACTAGATTTGTCATCTGCAGGCGTCGCTTCAGAAGATGTACCTGGCACGCCTTCCTTATTCTTCTCAGTATCATTAACCTGTTCTTCTGTACTGATCTTGCTCTGATCGCCTTCATCCGCAGTTTTACACTCTGTTACGTCAGTCGGCTTGGACGCGCTGGTATCTGCTCCCGACAAATTCTCAACACAGCCGACTACTTCAGATGCAGGCTGTTTATCAGTACCAGCAACCGGCTTGGGTGTGCTGGCATCAACTTCTGACGAATTCTCAGTACTATCCACTTCAGATGCCGGCTGTCTACCAACATCGGTAACACTGCAAGTATCATTTGTATTTCGTGCTTTGTTAATATTTCCGTCATAAACGCCCTTTTCTGTTAGTAATTCTTGACCTATACGTGCTTCTGTTTCTTGATACTCTTGCGAGTTACCGAACAATTCAGTACCATCACTCTTTCGATGGCTACCATCATTCTCCCTCGCCAATTCGACTTTTGCTTTATGCTCTTCGTCGTGCTCAAGAGCTGGAATTCGATCGTGTGAAGCCATTACAAACGTTTTTCATTAAATCAACAACTATACAGCAATTATTTGTTTTGAATCAATACCTTACCACCTTCCATAACAAAATGACACTGAAGTACTACATTCAAACACCAGATTGAGCTATATTCCGTAGCACGTTCGGCAGTTGATGAGTTTAGTCTTTCTCTGAGAATAAACCACGGATCATATATGATATCAGGGTCTGTTTTTGTATGATTCCAGTACAGGGCAAACAGCAGGATTCATACCACTACCGACCACTACCGTGGATCCATAATGAGTGGTCAGCTAGAATCTGACACTGTGCAGTCCAGTGTCTCCTACTCACCAGAGGATAGAAAGAGATCCAGTGTCAAAAACGTTGTTCTCTAGTTTCCAGAATTCCACACGATGAACAAAGACCAAACACCCATTAATTCCGCGATTATCCCTCTTCACCATCCTCGACCTGAAATGTTCCCTGATTGATTGTTTTGGAAAAAGCACATAATAACATTTATTCATGTAATTTCTCTAACTTAGTATTATTACTGTCCTTACCGTTCGCCTACACGTTCGGCGTCACTTATACCTCGCCGTCACGTTCGCCCCTTTGTGGTCTGCACTTTCATCCGCCGCTTCCTTGTAGCTGTCTGGTTCAGGGTAGGGGGTGGGATTGCTCTGAATTTGGATTTGTGTGGGCGCCAGTGGACTTGGGTGAAATCCACGAATTTGGAACGGGGAAAACAAGAGGGGGATATGGGTAGGCGGACGTTTGGGGTTCCGACTGCTCAGACGGTAGGACGAGATTCTGTCTCAGGGCGACTAATGGGCCTTGCTCACACAAGGAGAGAGAAAACACTCAAAAACTCGCACTTCACCAACACTGTTGCTCTTTATTGTAGATGTGCACTAGAATTACACACTACGAGGCTGTAGCACTTGGACTTTGTACACCGGACTCGGCCAACACCAATTTAACGTCCGGGTGGTTACTCATATTATTCTCTTTTTGCTACTCCCTCCTGTTACTCACTGTTGGTGACTGCCTGCTCTGGAGAGGCAGAAGTCCTGACGGAAAGCAGGAACGCCTGGATTCCTCTCCTCTGAAATTTTGCTGATTGGCTGAACCTAAAATTTGGGTGTTTCTCTCATTTGCATTCAGCCAATCCCTAACCAGGTCCATGTTAATTTGGGCCTAAGTACAACACGGTCCCTCTGACAGCTCTCAAATAAATGAAGGTACACTAACAATCGCTCGGTGCGCCACTTCGAAAATTATTGCGACTCGTATCTGTCAAGTCTCAAATTTTCAAAGACTCGCACCGTCGAAGCATTGAAACTCCCAGAAAACACAGTGGGATACTTCCTGCTCCGTTCTGGGGGTTTCAAGTGACCTGCAGCTTGCTTGTCCCTCAGAAAGACCAGATGTCGTCCTTGGCGTCTGCTGGTGCTGGGGTCAATTCTGTATCATCTATTGTTAACAGTAGTACAGTTCGTTTACGTGTAGTGCATTGTAATTAAGAATGTAAATTAGAAACATTCCTGAGGTTCCTGCATGGTGCGGTTACAGTATCGCAAACGATTTGTGCTGTGCTTGGTCTGTATTCGCTATCTCTGGGATCCTATGTCTGGGGATGGGGAATAACCACATCTGTTAACTGCAAGTTTCATGAAAGTGGTAATGTCACTATGTTTATCTTTCAGTTCAAATTAGGCAACAACGAATTTGTATCAGGACATACTAACAGACAGTGACATAGAAAATTTGTCAGAAATTCACCTTTTGCTATTAGGAATCGTTAAAATCAGATAATTTCCCAGTCCCTTTACATTATTAATCATGTATTCATTCATTCATTCATTTATTCAGCATTCCATTGTGGGGCTCTCTTGTCAACGAGTGTGTAGTCTTGTCATTACTCCGATGACAACCCACTTCTTCGGAACAGTTTGTTGGCCCTGAAAAGGACCGTGGCTGATGAGATGATTGACCGGTGAGGTAGCGCGGCGCGCGCCGGTAAGGAGAAAGGCTAGTGAAAGGCGAGTGGCCTGGCCGCAGTGCGGCCGTGGCTGGAGGTTGCTTGGTTGCCGTGCGGCAGCGTGAGTTGGAGGTTGCTTGATCGCAGTGCGGCAAATGGCGAAGGTTGCTGCTGGTGAAAAACTAGTCGTTGAGCGCGGTCGTAGGAGCCACGAGGCAGTGGCTACGCCAGAAACACAGTGAGTCGGACCGTAACACGACCACCGGCGAGTCCAGAAGCGGTGCCCCAGTGAGTCGGGTGTGAGAGCGCCGGAGAGCCGAGGCAGTCGTGCCTGGCGCAGCCTGCCGATGCCTCCGAAGACCGAGCGCTGGCGACGAAGCCTGCTGGTTGAAGCTGCTTGATGTGGCTAGCTCGTAGGCTGATGAACTGAATCGATGAACTGAACTGAACTGAATTGATGAACTGAATATCTCGGCTCAGGTCAGGTCAGGTCAGGTCA